AGAGAGCCCGTATTCACCCATTTTTTTTCAAAGGAATTACTGGCAAAGGTGTCACGAAAAAGTCCTTTCCCACCCCCCCCCTCCCCCAACCACTCTGAATCTATGACTCTACCATACTATTCCCAAACCGCACGTTTCTACCAAAGACGACGTGCGTGACACAACATGCAGACGCTGCTTATTTCAAACACAGAACTTTTATTCCACTTGTTCTCCATATCCGCTTCAGACTGCAATTTTTCAACCCACCTTACAACTTAACAACTCATATTATTAGGTCAATTTGGGCTTAAACAGAATTGCTATTTTTTTCTTTCAAACAACAAAAGACATAGGACTTTAGAATCAATGCAGTCAGCATATTCAAAGTGGATATTGGCAAGATAGAGAATGAAATGAAAAATCTAGAAAACTGCACAGGCAGGTAGGCAAGTAAGTAACTCAACTAACAGGTCTTCAGTTGGTTGTTAGCAAGTTCAGTTGAATAAAGCTGATTACGTCTACTAATTGCCTGGTGATAACAAATCATTAGCTTAGATTTCTATAATTAGCCAACTAGGCTTCGAGCCAAGATGTGCACTTAAAAAATGTCATCAGGCACCAACCATTACGCCAGATCAAAAGAAACATGCCATTTCTAAGCGTACAAAGTATTCACATTGCGTCAAATATAGCAGGGGACTATAACACGCTCTGTTGTCAAGTGCCTTCGTCAATCTCCAGACTCTTATCTTTACCCAATAGGCTTGGTCAAAAAAAGGCTGATAGATAATTAGACTCACAAGGTCAGGGCCTTCTTTCTTAGTTCAGTATCAGCTGTTTCAGAGTAGGAGGAGGCGAGAGCGAACAGTGTTTGCTAAAATTCGGTGTTAAAAAAGAGCAAATAATTCGTGAATAAAAGAATTATGCAAAAATCTCTTCCTCCTTGAAGTGGCATGTCTACAGCCAGCATTAAGCCCGTTTTCGTAGCATTTAAACACACGAGCTGTTAGAAGCTTCATATTTATAGCCATGGTCTAGTATAGGTATTTGCTGTGAGGCGAAATGAGTAGTAAAAAAAGTATTAATAAGGGTTAATATTAACCGCTTTCTCATCGGTGAATCCAAGTGTCATTTATTTCGTATATTGAGAGGTGAGTAAATTAATGCTAGTTGTTCTGTGTGTCAGTAGACGACTCACATTTGCTTTATCTCATTAATTTCAAATAGCTGTTATTACGCTTTTTCCTAAGCAGTAATTCTCAAACCTTTTACGAAAAAATCTTTTCCCAACTTAAAAGCGCTTTCAGACTGAAAAATCGGTGTCCAACTAAGTATCAGTTTAGATAGCATTATCAAAATTAAAGTTTCTTAATTACCTATTGTCAGAGAGCGAGGAAATACATGATAACACGACTAATGAAAAACTAGAAGCTGAGTAATGTTGGATCTTCAAATATTCTTTTTTCTACATTTGAATTTTAGACTCATCTGACTGTTTACTTATTTCTTAGTGAGTTCAGTTCATTTACCTGTATACATAATTGAAAACAGTTTACTGATCATTATACAACAGTAATTGGTCATGCTCTTAAATTAATACCGAAAAATCTCTGACAGTAATTGGCGACTAAATTATAACAATCGAAAAGTCATAATCAATGTCGCATCGCATATTCCCATCACCAGATGTGCACAAGGGTGTGTAAAATCCACGAATGCGGAGGCGTATGACTGCGAATAAAACCGCACTCACCGGATTCGCAAGAGGACTGCATGAGTACTTTGAAAACCACCCAATCAAGAGGTTTCCATGGTTTTCTATACCAAATCTTGCACAAATCAAGGCATAATAGTCAATTGAAAGGCAAATAATAAATATAACGACACGAAGAGAACAGCTAATCTCAACATTTAATCCTCAAGTCAGTAAAAATGCAAACATTCGCCAAGAACCATAGCAATCTTTCGGCCTTTACACGTTCATTCATCGATTGATTGAGACTCGAAGTAGCTGCTTTATGTCACCTAGGTTGAGAGTTATCTTCCAATCAATAGGCATTAAATCAAATTAAGTTAACTTCCATATCAAGCTTTTATCTTCTAGTGAAAAGTCCACCAAATTGCATTCAACATGGTTAGGTGAATGGATCTACCATTTGGCACTTTTATTCCTTATCCGGCAATTACTTATTGCCTTCATTGGGGCATGAGGCCGCCCGAAGGGGAAAAAGAAGGGTTGTCTTGAATGAAAGCATTCACTTAAATGACTCCAACTGTGAAACAGGAACTAATCATGCTTACAAGGCTTTCGTTAATGCCTCAGCGATCATGAAAGCAATTAGGCCTAGTATTGGTGTCTGTTGACTAGCATATATTTACTACTTGAAAACTCCATTGAACAATCTCGTGTGCTACAATGAAAATATTTACCTACTATCGACTAAATACTCTTGCCTATTCAAAAAGGCGCCTATTCCAAGGAATAGGACGATCAAGCTCTAAATTCAATCAGCCGAAAAACAAAATCAGCTATCGAGGATATGACACAGAGGTCAAATCCTGAAATTTGAACTAAGAAACAAGAGACAGATAACTGCACGGGTTATTGCGTTATTTTACTTCTACGTGAAAGGAAAATAGAAAACGAAACTCTACTAAATACATTCTCATTCAAATTTCCTCCCTTTGCACAAAACAGGGAAACAAAATGACAAAATTAAAACTACGCCTCTATTATTATTAGTGGTATTATTATTCTAGGATAACACTATCAATAAGCATTTAAAGCTAATGCTCTAATTATCCAGATGGGAGATGTCGGTGGCGAAATATAATGAAAGCGAACTAACTTACCTCATGATGTGGATCGATAAATAAGGCTTGATTGAAGCTTTCATAGGCCTCTTGCCTTCGATTCATCTCCAGTAGAACCACCCCCAACTACATTGTTGGTAGGGAGAAAAAAGGGGAAGAGATTTATCGCATCGTATAATACGTACATTATTGCACAGCAACTACTATTCATTCTAGGTGTGTATTGATGTAACTCACATTGTAGTGAAGAGCTACACTTGAGTACTTGTATTTTAGAGCTGTTCTATACATGCTCTCCGCCTCCATATACCTGAAAGAAAGAAAAGAGGCGTTAGTTCTTCAAGATGCCAACTATTTTCGATACCACCACGTACGTCAAAAACTAGCTTTCAATGTGTGTATAGATAATATATGTAGCGACAAGGAGGTAGTTTGCGATTTCGAAACTGCCTAATTACATTGCCACTAAATCTGTATTTGCAAAAATTACGAGTATTGGCAAAAACCACATAAAAGGAAAATTTATCTGACATTACAAAGGTGCATAAATAGCACCCCTTAAAAAAGGTAGTTTTCACATTTTGATCTGAGCACATATTTTTATAATGCTTGAGAACCCGTTTTTTTCATATTTCCTAGACTTAAAAAATAAAAATTTTCCTAAAATAATTGTCGTGCTTTGTAAGATTCTTCAACTTTCAACCACGTAATTTCTTTTCTTAGCCCTAAGTCAGCCCATTTTGAAGTGATGGTTTAGGTCATTTGACGTTGTGCTAACGGGTTGTATTTATAGTAATTCGCGAATTTCTTAGGAAATCGAAGAGTTGGTTACAGTATGCTATCGATATTTCAACTGGCTTGCAAACCTTCATAGTGTCAATAAAATGACCCTTATTTTAATCCACTTATAAAAAGTAAGTATACATTATTTTCGAACGATACAGACATATGCAAAATTTGGGAAGTTACTATACATTTTAGGTAAAAATATTTACTAAGGCTAAAGTAAAGTTAGGAAGCTCACTTTAAAACACATCAATTTGAGTGTGAGCATGTGCCCAGCATACCTACCTACTCAATTACATTTGGCAGCTTAATACGATTAGATCGAGTAAAGGCGCGTTCTCTCGTGGAAGTCTTTTTTTGGAGTTTTCAACCAGTTTCCAATTTATGTAATATGATAATATATAGAATGATATTAAAAAATGAGAGGAACTAAAGTAATACATGAATTTAAAACAATGTGACTTGAATGAACTGATAGACTCAATTAAGAGTGACCAACATACAAAAACTTTGATAATTTGCATTCAAACCATTATCATTACGTTGTATTGCGAGTGTTTGATGCGCAGCCATTGTGGATTATTTACACGTAATAACCTTTACTGACATCTCCTTGGATATTCACTTGGTATAAAAGGATGTTGTCGGTGATTATATTTTGTTAGATTGAAGTTACCCTATGTGTAGCAACTGAAAACGACAAAGAGGCTTCGAATAGTAAGTGGATAACAGTATATTTAAACTGAAATTGCTCCTCAACTCTGTGCAGTCATTATTTAACCCTTGCCCAATTGCTTTCTTCAACACCTCTGTAGCCAAACTCAAATACTCAAACCAGTTTCAAACGAAGAAAAGTTGATGCGAATTGATATCACTTCTGATTCCAACTTTGTAAGCCATTTCAATTTAGTACGCACCAGATTAATATACATCCTGGCTCATCAAATAAGCGGGCAAGCTTGTATTCCATATTTCTTATACGAATTAAATTACCTCTGCTGACGAACAAGAATACTGCCACGATTCTGGTAAGCGTCAACATTATCTTCACGCAATGAAATAGCTCTTCTTAATAGGGCATCAGCTTCATCCAACCGACTATCATTTTTGGCAAGCAGATTGGCAAGATTGATAAAAATCGTGAGATCTTTGGGTGAAACACGAGTGTGGTAAACCATTCCTACAAGCAATACAGACCAGTAAAGTTTGAAATATTTATTAACTACTAGTAAGTTGTAAGTAGGACAAACCTTTCTTAGGCTTGGGGAAGAAATCAAGAGCCTGATAGTAGGCAGCCTCGGCTTCTTCTAATCGATTCAATTGAACGAGAGTACGCCCGACGTTAATTCTTGCGCCCATATCGTCCGGTTGAACTCTGAAACCAATCAACGTGTCAAGGTAAGAATATAAGTACAAATTATTATTAATTGCTTTCCCTTGCTCACGCTTTATTCCCAATATTAATATTAAAAATAACGCTAATCCTTCAAATTATTAACAAAAGCAATTGTGAATAGTGTATAATTGTTCGCACTTTAAGTGGGGTGGGGCAGTGATAGCTTTCCAATAACGGGAATTTAAGTTCTCCCCTCTTCTGAGTGAGATATTGGCATGTTGATCATAGAAAAAAATAAATAGTAAAAACATTCGATCGATAATACAGTCTAAAGGACCAATCAGAAAGCAGGAAAGGAGAACCATCTCGTAACTAACCTCACAGCTTGTTGAAAATACAGAAGAGCATCATTAAACTTTGATTTCGCTTCAAGAGAGTGTCCGACATTGTTCCATAATTTTGCATTTTGCTGAGTTACTTTCAAAGCTGATGTAAATAAAGAGTACTCGTCTTTCCTAAATGTAAAATTTAAAAATTATATCATTTTTTATGAACAAGCATTGAAGCAATTATAATAATGTAAGAAAAACTATTAATATAAGCAACAACAAAGCGTTCATTATTGCAAACGACTTGATATCATTATAGTATTTTATCATTTTTATTATCATTATTATTATTATTATAACTGCATAAAACGACACAAATTGGCATCTTTACTATCTATTCAGGCAAGGATCTCATCAGATTTAAATACTTAAAGTGTGACAAGAAACTTTCCACCGAACAAACCCAGTGGGGTTAAACTCGATCCTATTTCAATTTTGCGATTTTTCTTAACAATATACTCATTTGTGTGATTACAACAGCAATGAGTGTTTTCCACTCCAGGCCGGAACAGTTGAATCCAAAATTGATAATGCATATCTTTTCACAAACAAATTTGAATGACATAAAAAGATAACCTATTCTCAAAATAAAAGAAGAAAAATATCTCATCACAAAAATCTTAAAAAGATCGGATGATTTCGATCTCTGGTTATGACAACGAGGAAAAGCCTATGAAATTTCCTGCAAAACCAAAATTTTCAATGCTTTATCGGACATCCAAACTAATCTTTAACTTAGAAAGAAATAAATAAAATAAAAAAATGGGAAAAATAGCCTCAAGCATAATGTGCCTTCGAAGAAAAATTCAAGAATAATGAAATCTTACCAATCGTAGTTGCGGTAGAATGTCTTAAGCGAGAAGCCTGAACAAATTACAGCCAGAATCAAATATGCCTGCGTCTTTGTTCTGCTTGAGAAAGTCAAATGATGATGATTAGCTATTTGTGGAACAAAGTAAAGAAAGTATGCCTAATAAACTTACAGTAGACTTCGTTTATTTCTTGTTGAACATCTTTGAAGAAGAAACTGGAAGCCCAAACCCATAATTAGACAAAATCCTGCACTAGGAACATAAAGAACCCTTTCTGCAACCACAAACCCTACATAAAAGAAGAGGTTCGAGGCCGGCAAAAACGGCAAACACAGCAAAGCAAGTCCCTACAAAATTGACAGACACTCTACTTAAGACAACGTCAGTAGTATGGATTTATAAAAGTACATCCACTTACCATCGAAAGCGTGAGCGATTGACGCGTTTTAGTCCAAGGAGAAGCACAACGAAGAGCCGCAAGGAACAGACCAAAAAAGGCAAAAAAAGTGCAGACGTTACGCCAATCATAGAAGGATACAATTAAGGGGATGCTGCCCATGGTCCAATCAGCGCAAAGACCAGAAGGATAAAAGAGCAGAGCCAAGTTGAAAAATATTAAGTAGAGATGAGTTAATCGACGTGTCAGGGGTGATGCATGGGCAGCCGGATTGTCAAATCTACAAAGAAATCGTAGCATTTTACATGATAATCATGCTCTTGCTTGACCGTTGTATAAGCAGAGACGATTAAGATTGGTCGTAACTTTCAGCTTATACATGTACACTAGTTGTGTGGTTAATCATTATTTATATTTATATTTGAAATTCAAAACCCTATGTCATAACCAGAAATAATCGGAATTTAGATTTGAACAAGACTTATTAGATGTGTTGGCATATTTTTTACTACCACCAAAAACCTGACCACCTACCTCGGCACCAACTAGTCAAATATTTCTTGGATGTAGATTCCTCCTCGTGAGTAAAATTATCATTTGATAATAATAATAATTTCTCATTTTAAAATTTCCCAAGATAGTTCACGAATTTGGGTAGCCGAATCGACCGACAAACTGCGAATTTAAGAAAAGAAGCTCGTCCCAATGCACAAACAGAAGAAACATACCTAGATGATCACGTGAAGTACAAGAAAACCTCCGTGGTAAAGATCCAACGACCTATTTAAACAACATTAACTCCTGGAAGAATGAACTACCATTGATATTGAAATACTGGGTTGATGCTGAAAAATAAGAACTTTCAACAGAAGAACGATGACAAAAGAGTATAGACAAGCCTTATGCAAGTAAATGAAAGGAATTTTGGCATTAATACAATGATAAATCAAAAAACAAGCGTTCGTAGAAGCAAGTTAATTTGAAATAGCAGATGAAAATTAGAACATTTAATAATTTTTCCCATTAATAGACAAGTGTAAATTCATATCTGTGACAACAGAACGATAAATAAGTCAAATATATGGAGCTAGGCCAATAACTTCACGCAATTCAATCACCGAAAGGAGAATCGTCAAAGAATATCTCCCAGGAGACCTATCCTCAGGACATAAAATAACAATTGCCAGCTCTTATTAAGAGCTTCAGAAACAGAAGTACGTTGAAGTACTGATACTGGCGACAAGAAAGATATCTAGGGATAAGAATAATGAAAATGCCCATTCGATCATGGTCAAAGTTCTAAGGACCAGGACACTTTCAGAACGTCTTCCGGTTTATCAGCGCAGTAAAAGAGAAATAATGAGAGGCAAAAATTTCAAATTAAGATTAAAATCTGGAATAAAAGTTTATCAAATTGGTATGACATTATTTCAACCACTCAAGTCCGAATATGGAGTTCCAAAATAATTACGAGGAGCAGATAATTCAATAATTTCACTAAAAATATAAACCTTATCAATGAGTATACTTCATTGTGTCTATAATATATTCTCATCAAATAACACTAAAGTACGTACGATGTAAAATGAGGAAGTTGCGAGCCCATCACCTCCACACGGGCAAAGAGGAATAGGGCGGATGTGAAGGCAAGGAATAAGAATCGAAGAAAAAATCGGAACCAAACAGTCCTTCGATCCGTTAGGCTATTCCTATAGAATGTGTGCTTATAAAGTGAAAAAAAACATGAAAATATATCAGAGACCAGATGCAATGACAAGTACTGTAATTACTGATCGGAAGTTTAGAACTTACAATGAAATGAAAGACAAAGTCGTAAGCTAGACAGACGCCAACGACTGTGATGCATTGCTCCTTGCACAATGTCCCAATAATCACGAGAATGGCGATAGCCAATAGCCTAGTAAATCCTGTAAACATAGTGGAAAAAAACAATATTTAAAAGTTGTAAAGCTCGTGGGCATAAACCCCTTCCAATTAATAACAGATTAATAAGATCGGACAACCGCTTTTGTAATTTGAATTAACATTATACTAACAGCCTATTGCTTATGCTTCAATCTCGACAACAAAACACTGATTATAATCATTGACAAAGATATAAAATTTAACTACAATAATCTTCTACAAATATCGAGTGGATGCGAAGATAAATTTGGACAAGGAATAATCCAAATATTGATAAGTAAATGAGTCAATATGAACGTATTAAATTGTGCTAGTTTTCATAGCAAAAAAAGGTTACCATGAAACCTCGCCATATAAAAGCAATATATATTACTTCTTCAACTAAACAAAGAATATATAAACTGCTCTCAATAATAACTAAATCATACGTGCTAAAAATAGGAAACTACACAATTCAGAGTATAAATCAGTAATTCAATAACAGTATTTTAAAACGTTAGAAGCGTAAAGATCTTTTACCTGAAATTAACTTCGATGATTCGCTTTTAATAATATCCAGATAGATGAGGATGGAAGCAAACACAAAAATGGCCGACAGTAATTCAGCTCGTCCTACTATTCCAGTAACAGCTTCAACATGAATGGGATGAACAGCAAAAAGAAGGGCGGCAGCCAGACTTCCAGAGGGTTCAATAAATCGTGTTGACAGATAATGGAATAGAAGAACAGCGATAATGTGGAGTAAGATATTCACAAGATGAAAACCCCAGGGATCTAGCTCAGCCAGAGCATAATTCCAACGATAAGTTAAGACAGTGAGTGGACGATAAGACTTGTGACTAGATTCATATGACATCGGAGTGCCCCAAAAGTCATTCTTAAATAGAATCCACCATGGATAAATGTGAGGTCGGATATCTTGATTATCAACAATAGCTGAAGCATCGTCAAATACAAAACCGCAGTTAAGGCTGTTGCAGTAAACAAAGAAAGTCGTGACAGCGAGAAAAACATGATGCCAAACAGGAGAAGTGTGAGTAAATAGATGAATGGTTGGGATATTTGAGTGGATTTCCAATTTGGGAACACTAAAAACAGTTTTTAAAATAGTGAAACCAATAGCGTAATGAGCGTAAAAATCGAAATAAGAAGTAAATTAGCAGGAAATTTACCGGCTGCGTTTTCGCATAACTAAAGGGTTTTTTTATCAAATAATAGGCTCAGTAGCACAATTAAATGTGCATTATAAAGAACTAAAGGTCAATAGGGCTTTGACTAAATTCGGCGGTATGTCTCAAGGTTATTCAAAATATATATATTTGCGTTAAAAGTTCCCAAAATACAAAAGATGAGAATTCGAATTTAAAACGTAATATGCAAATGAGTATAAAATAGCTCACAGAGAAACATTTATTTAATTTTCCTTTAAAACCTAAATTAATTTCACCACTAATTTTGAACTGTTTTTCAAGGTCTTGCTCTTATTCGCTACTTTGGAATTGACACCTTTGGACTTCAATTATATCTCCTTAAAGAACGTGTTTTATCGCATTATGTCTGATCGCGATAAATCTACTAACAGTGAGGTAGCTGCGGCTAAGGCTCAGACTGAATCCTTTCGTGAAAGGCTAGCCGCTCGTCGTCAGAAACGCAATCAACTTATTGCAGCTGCCACAAATAGCGCTCTTCCATTAAACATTCCTGGTGTATCAGATATAGCTGCAATTTTCGCTGCGAAAAAGCATACAAATCAGCCTAAATCGTCAGTTATTCCTTCCATACTTAAAATTCCACTTGATAAATCAGAATTAAACAAACAATCTGATGAAGGTATATCACTTATTTTATGCAATGCTCTGATTTTCTAGGTATATTATCCTCATCGAATTGTCTGTAAGTTTAATTTCTTCTTTTGCTTATTCGTAATTGTAGGCAAAATGCTGAGGTACCCATTAAACTTTTCAAAATTGATTCTACCTCAAGTTCTTCCGAAGCGCCAAACAAATCTCTAAAAGTTGGACCT